AAATAATATTTATTCCCTAAAGATAGACACAGGGCAAAGAATATCCTATTAGATTTTACTTTGGATTAGAGCAGTATGTGGAAATGCAATGAAGTTGATTGTTGAACCGAGGTAATATAATAAGGCTTTAAAAAGCAAAAATAACATTTGCTCAATTTAGCTGAAAAAACAAACCTCAAATATTGTAATAAAGGTCTCAATTCATAGTTATTTGAACTCTGTAAAAGGGAATTACTTAAGATTGAGAGGACTAACTCTATATTAATAAGAAAAGGAAATTTAGTTTACTCCTTTAAGATTTATGTCCTTGGAAAATTTTAAACTGCCTTTCACAAGGTGTCTGAATCCAAGAGCCGTTCACGATCAACAAAATATAAAGTCAATGCAATTTGCCCGTTTTTCTCTCATGAAATCTCGAAGTGTGATGTTTTGTGAAGTATTCCAAAGAGGTTAATTGACAAAAAAATAAAGTAGGCTTCACAGTCTTTTGGAATACAATGTTTCTACTTAATTCCAAGCACATAGAAAAGAGGTGAAAGAAAAGGGAAGTGCAGACAACTGCTCACTCCTTCATACCACGTCCTTGGCCTAGGAGATGCCTGGTATGAGGAGGTGGTCATTCCATTTGTGGTGAATGGTCAGGTGGATGAAGTCTCAGTGCTGGGGATCTGGGAACACAATTGTACCACATACTAAAAAAGAAAGTTGCGAGGAGGAAATTTTTAATGAAAAGTTTACTTTTATTTATTAAATATGTTGTATTTGGAGTGCAAATAGACTACCCAGGTAGAAGTGTCTGGAGGAGAAGTGTGGTACTCTACCTGGGAGAGTGATCAGAACGAGTCGTAGGTGATGACTTAGCCTATGCAGCTGGGTGGACACTGATAGGAAGAGATCATTGTGAGGAGAAAGGAGCAGGGGCCAAGCACAGAGCCTCGGGGAATGCCCACCGCTGGGCGGCAGGAGAACCAGGACAATACGGGTAGCCGCCCAGGGAGGAAAACTACTGCAAAACAACAGCAACAACAAATAGATATGCCACTATAAAAATAACGTTTTTTATTTATCCTAATTTTGTCTCCAATAAAGGGTAGATGTTTTCCCAAGTCAACTCAGCCTCTGTGGTCAGCAAACATTTGCACCAAAGGGGGAAACCAACCAGATTCCTTCCCAAAATTAGTAGGAAGCCCCAAGGGCAGAAAGAAATTGGAAGGAAAGAGAGAACGGGTCTATACTACCCACGCTAGGCCGGCAGAGGCCATGCCCCCTTGGGTGCCTGGCAGGTGCAGGCGACCAGGAACCTTCAGTTCCTCAGCGGCTGCCCCTCAGCTGCCCAGAGGAGCTTCTCTGAAGGAAGAGGGTAGTGAAAACACTGCAGTGCACCCAGCTTACCCTTGGGGCTACTACTAATGCCCTCATTTGAAAACACAGTGGTGGGCAAAAGTAGGTTTACAGTTGCTCCTATAGAAAATGCAATGATTAACAAATTAGTAATAATACAAGAATAAACTCTGTGTTTCATGTCATCACAACTGTAAACCTACTTTTATCACAAGGAAACCCCAAGGTCACTATAATCTGATTTTATATTAGGAGGCAGACCCAGAGAAGTTATGTAATTTGGTCATGATCATATAATTAATTAGTGTCAGAAATTACCAACTCTATCTCCTCTCTGGGAAATTTGTGTTTTTCAAATATAAAAGCTCATAAATTGGTCACCGTCACAAAGTAGAAGACTCTGGGGATTCTTTTTCAGGATTACTTTAATAAAAATATATCTTTTAATTGCATCATTTGATTACCTGCCTCAATTTTCTGTGTTGATTTGACAGACCTAGTGATTCAATGGAATAGAACTAAAATTGTTTTTCTCCACATTCCAAGTTATGGAAACAAGAGAGAATGTTCTCCTTATTATGATAGTGAGTTTACACTATCATAGTGAGCTGCTCAGACAGAATTATTATTTCTAAAAAAAGAAAAAGAAAATTGTTAAGTTTAGAGGCACAGAATAAATTAACCAGAGTGAAAGAATTTCTTTTCCAAATTTCAGACAGAAACAGCTTGACACTTTTGAAAGACGGGTTATGTGGATTACAATGTTTTTATGTCTTCCTCATTTCCTGTTTTATCATAATCAACCTCAGCTGTTACATTATTCCAAAGAATAGCATTTTGACAAATTATATTTTCTTTTCAGAACATGCGAATACAAACAGAATGAGTTTGGTTTTGTTTGCTGGCTTTTCATCACTCCCATTATGCCGGAGAACAGGAAAACATTATGAAAGAGGAATAGTAAACACTGAAGCCAGGAATGTTACATTCATTCTAGATAACCTTATACATTGAACTATTTTTGTATATTATGTATAGTGTTGTTGATGTCTTCTCTGTTTCACACGCTGAAGTGCTATGTTATTCTAACCACAGCTTCAGGACAAATTGATAGCACATGCACACACAGGGCCAAAAATTTTGACTTACCCAATGTACTGTGTATTATACAAATGAGCTTTTTGGTTTGTTTTGACCAAATACAATAGTGGGAGCGATCTTTAAAACAGAACTATTGCTGAACACTAATGATTTTTTAAAAGATAAATGTTTGTTGGGGCGCCTTTGGTAGACATTGTCTCAGTTCAAACACTTCTCACTCTGCTAAGAGTCAGTGGAAATCAACAGAGAAAACTGGTCCAATCTAAAGAAAATAGATGTTTCGAACCTGTTTACAAACTTAGTAAAATTAATTTTAATTTTTAATGTTTATAAATGTTATAAATATTATTTTATGTTCTGCTTCCAAATATAAAACACCCTACCGGGCAGTACATACAGACCCAAATCAATGAATTACTAGAAGAAAATGAACAGAAGTATATAATAATTAATTACAGTTATGATGTTCTTAAAGAAACAAATGCAGCATGAGTTGTATTAACAAAAACTGGAAACAACCCAAAACTCCAGAAACATGGAATGATTAAAGTGTCATATATTTATATGACAGACTACAATGGAAATTTGAAAATACTGCTCTACGACATAATAAATAGCAAAGGAAACCACAAACACAAACGCACAAATTACATGCAGACTGTAGGATGCCACTCATAAAAGTTTAAAATCAGGCAAAAGTTAATATACGCTGCTAGAATTCCTGCCAGTGGTTATCTTCGGGAAGAAGCATGGAAGTTATGATTTGGAAGAGGCACAGGGAGGCGTCTGGAGTGGTGGTAATGGCTATATCTTGATCTGTGTGGTGGTTACATAAGAGTGTTTACTTTGTGGAAAGGCACTGAGCTGCATGCTTTTATGATTTATGATCTCTTCTGCGTATATGTCATACTTCATTTACAAGTTTATTTTATGATAAGACGGAGTAAGTAGATTCCATCATGTCTTTCCCGCTGAATAGAGTTATAAAACCTAAACAAAATGCATGAAGCAGCTACTTAAGGACTCTGAAAAGTAAACAGTAGCAGGAAGATGGAGAAGACGACCAGTACCATCAAACTGGTAATGGATTCATCATTTTTCCCTTCTGCTAGGCCCCAGCTGAGGGGCTAATTAAAGCTCAATCATCAGGTCCCAGCAAAGCAGATTTAAAAGAGCCTAAATAATCAATTGCTATTCTTATTGTGTTTGTGCAAATAATCAAGGCAAATTGAAACTGGACTTAATACAGTAAATAAATTGGTCTTAATTTGGCTCTTTAATGAAAATGAGGGTGATTTTAGGGGGGGGGATTATGTTTTAAAGGACTCTATAACACAATTGTAAATAGTAGACTCTAGTTCAATTAAAAGCTTTATTTTTTTCACTTAAAGATTTGTAACACCGTTTGTCTCCACCAGGTTACAAGCCCTCTTTGTATTCAGGAGATACCGCCTCTAGACACCATCACCATTTCCTTCTGGGCCCAGGTCTCATTGTCCCTCTGACAGAGAGCAAGGGTCTCTTGGCTCTGAAACCTCTAGACACCATCACCATTTCCTTCTGGGCCCAGATCTCATTGTCCCTCTGACAGAGAGCAAAGGTCTCTTGGCTCTGAAGGAAAACTTTGCCCCTCTTCAGCAGGAACAGCTACAGAAGAGACCTGAGCCCTTTTTCTCTGAAAGAATTCAGAACCAAGATCCTTAGGGGGAGAGGGGGTTAGGCAGTTAGACAGACATGAGCAAAGCTAGGATGATGGGCCAGGTACAGAAAGTCACCAGGGTGGAAAGCCCTGGGTGCCTACCACAGGACAATTTAGGGTGCGACCTTGTCCCCAGCGTGACCTTCCCTCCCCTAGCACATCACTGGTCATGCAGTTTGGACACCCTGACTTTTCCTCCCTAGAGATAACATCTAGGCCTCAGCTGTATTTCAGCTCTGGGCCCAGAAAAGCAGCAAAACCAGACAAGCAACGCCAGGCGCCAAGGCTGACCTCAGGACCAGCTGCATTGAATAATGACCGTCGGGACCCTGACCCTGAAAGGACACACCTGGAAAGCTGGTGAACATTCTATTGAGATCTTCCACTGGGACCTCCCCTAAAATCTCCAACCTTAAAACCCTTAGCACAGAGGACCCTGCTCTCCCTCTTGGGAGCACACCAGCGCCTTTCCCTTCTCCCCCTCCCCTCCCCATCCTCCTAGGTGTGTCACCATTACCCTCCACTTCTAAGCTCCAAGGGCCCTTCCTTTACTTCTATAACTTATTTCCTAAGCCCATTTCTTCCATGAATTACTTCTACCTCTGTGACTTTCCAAATAAATGTTTTTATATGAAAAAGTATAGAATTCATAAAATTCATAGAATTTTTAATGACCAAAAGTAAAGGTCAATTTTATTACATGCTAATTTTAAAAATAAAATTAACATAAATAAAAAATAACGTGTATAAGCTTACTTTAAGATGTAGGGCACAAATGTCCCCAACCAAGACTTCAGTATCTGGGTTACATCAAAGATTTGACTACAAATGAAAACCAGGAAGGTAGTGATGTACTCACCACTGCTCGCCCCTCTACAGTTTCCATTACTAGAATCCATAGGAAAATCTGAAAGGTGATAGAATAAAGTAAGAATCATCACATATTCATTATTACTTCAAGAG